CCTTCATAAAATCCTTAATTCCCCACATTTTTTCAGAAATAAAACCATTCATAAAGACCTTAATGTTCCATATGCCGCTCATTTAGCCTGAGCCCGATACCTATTGTTTCATGATAAACTCCTGCCCCATCCAAATCCACTTGTTTGTAGTCTTGCTTCTTCCTCGATTCCTGATAATCCCCCTAGGTGTCTGAAAAGAAGATGACCTCGTAATCTTCTCACATAGAATTAAATAGGGAGTGCTACCATTGGGCAGTATCTCTTCAAGTCTGTTCATGTCATTATTTCTAATGTGCGCATTTTTACTAGTTGTATTGTTTATACAGTTGTAAATTTCATTAAATAAATAAAAAAAATATTTTATTGCTTACCGAAACATATTGATTTTGTAAATAAAATAAAAACTATTTGTTAGAGTACCAATCGCTGTTCATTATAGTTTTTATTTTTTTTATTTGATCGTTTCGACTGAATGACAATATTATTGAGTATTTATTGAAATAAAACTGATTTACTAACTGATAATTTTTATTTCATACAATAGTTTCTCATGATTATTAAGTATGAAAAATAATAGCATGATAGGAGATTTTTATAAACTAATTTACTTTTCATGTATTTGAAAAATACTTTTTTCCTGATAGGATAAGATTAATAAAACTATGTGATTTATTCAACCATTCATTGACACTATACAAAAACAAAGTGGCATCACGAACATTAATAAATTTATAATTAAGTAGCCCATCATTTTATTGTATATTTTCTACAATTTACATGGTGTAATTTTCTTTCTAGCATAAAACTATCAGTAAATTAATTTTTTAGCACTATAAAGCATTTTTTAAGATTTCTCCTTTATCTAATTGTTTTAACAATAACCTGATTTTTATTTTTAGTTTTTAAGATTGGTTTTTATGAGCGTTGTAATTTTTAAATGTAATATATATCCAAGAGTAATGCGATATCATCTGAAAGTAATGTTACTTAAAGATGGAAATAACGAAAATGTACAATTAAAATTGAATTCTTACCCATGGTTGAAATTGATGATATTAAAGGAAAAGCATAAAAAAGTGGCAGTGTTGCTTAAGCCACTGTAATAAAAATATTAAAAAGATAATAATGATTCTTTTGTTTTCATATACACTTCTGTCCAGAATATATAAATTTATATTTTTTCACATGTAATATTTATATACATATAATATAAATAAATTAGCTGCAGTTAGTCAAATAAAGTGAATCAAATAATTAGTATAATTAAGTTATATGATTGGCAACACTGACTATTGAAATATATCTCAAAATTAAATAAATGAATCCTATATTTGAACAATACTTTTTTAGGTAAAATAAATACGATTTACTTAATAATAAAATAATATTTTTACTTAATTTAACTTTGTTATCAAATTTGTAATTGTTCTTTTATATATTGATATTATTTGACTTTGATATTTGAGAAGTTATAAAAATTCCCAAGTGTTTTCGTCTTTGTTATTATTAGACAAACTAAAATTATAATATGTAAACAAATAATTTATACATATGAATATTTTATAATGTCTTAATTAATTTACAGCTGTTTGAATTGTCATCATTCCTTTGCAAATGCCATCGGTATTTAGCTCTTCATAATCGATTAGTTACAAAACGATTAGTAGTTACAAATGATCATAGGTTAAATTATAAACTACATTAAAAACACAGGCGGATCTACGGGGGAGGGGCTTTCGGGTTGAAGCCTCCCCCCTCCCCCCACCAAAAATGGTAAAATATAATCATGTATTACAGAAAAAAATATTAAAAACTATCTCTTAAAGTATTCTTGTTTGGTTAATTACATTTAATAGTACTTCAAAAACCACTTAAACACCATTTTATATAGGTAGTTAATTTCTTTCTTTTTTTTTTCAAATTAATTATCGTTATATGTATATGAAAAAAAAATCTTTCGGGCTGAAGCCCCCCCCAAAATTAAATCCTGGATCCGCTAGTGATTAAAAGAATTATCATTATTAACGTCTCTTGTTTATAATTTTACAAAAATGTTCAGTTTCATTAATTTATACTCAGAAGTAAATTATCGTCATTCCATATTTACTGATTTTGATTTTATTATCGTATTTACATTACTACTTTGACCACATTGACCGAGGTTAAAATATTGCATTTAAGGTAAAATATGGCCTATACTTAAAATATCTATAATGATTGACAACTATCCATAACAAGTAATTCAGTACGCTCTGAAATTTATTTTTTTCTCCTGTAAAAATTTTAAAATGTTAAAGTAATTTGTCTCTGACGTACAGCATTATTAGTTAAATGGAACATCTGATTATTGTCTATCTTCCTTGAAAATAATCTACATTTGCACTGTATCTAAGGTCGTCAGTGAAGAGCGTGATTATGCGCAGCGATGTCCACACCCCCCTTGTGATTAACACAAGTTGAGCCATCAAAATTTTCGAGGGATACATAATATTTCAAAGTTTTTTTTAAAAAACCTTTTATCTGAAGATGGGAATAAAAAGTCCCGAAACGTAAACTAGACTGTTAACATGTAATGTTAAAAATATACTCGTATTGTTAATAATTGGAAGTTATTATTGCCAAGCAACTAAATAAATTGACAAGTTCCCAGGAAAAAAAGAAAAAAGAAGTTTTTTTTTAATTTTTGAGGAGTTACGTTTCGGCAGGGTTTGGATTTTTTCGGAATGAAAAGTTTCATACTAAGGGACAAGGGTAAAATATAACTGTAATTGTAAATGATCTATGATTTTTCTAATTTTACCTTCGCTGGTTATTTTTAATTTCACTTACCTACATATGAAATGTATAGTTAATGAAAATGCTGAGACCGTGAAAATTTTCGAATCAAGTTTTCAACGGATATATATGTTTGTAGGTCGCATGAACCAAAATAACCAAGATCATAACAGACTAGCTCATAAACAAAAAGTCGTACGAAAGTGAAATTGCATATTTAAGGTTTTTATATACTAGGGATATTACAGCGACTTTTTCGTAAAAATCGGCTAACCGAAAGTGGCACTTTATATCGTAGACTAAGCACATTTTTACGATTTCTTCGAAAACGACTCAAACGATTTTGATTAAATTCATTATATCAGTGTAAAATTAATCAATTTTAAATAAAATGTGGTTTTTATCCTGATTGATGTTCTCCAACAGGGATTAAATGGCTAATTTTCAATATTAACTTCCTCTAAAGTACCTTTAATTTTTTTGATTTGAAACAACCTCTAGTTACGCGTTTTCTATCCGTCATAGAACTCTTAGGGAAAGATTATAAAATGTTAGATGTTTTTATATACACATACAGTGTGAATCGGGAGAAACGGGCTAAATTTCAGAAACAGGAAAATAATAAAAACCAACTCATGTTCTTATCCTACTTTTTTTCTCTCTCTCTGTTCTTCTCTACCCTGCCTTTTAGGTTAAACGGGATTTTCCCAGGCCGGCGGGTTAGGGCGGGGAATTTAAAATCCCCTCTAGCGCCAGGACGCGAACTCGTACTTTTTTTAAAATCTCATATTCAGGTCATCTGGTTGCCGGGCAAACTCGCGGTGCTGTGCACACGCGTTAGCCCATTCGGCCACTTATCCTACTTTTTTTTTCGGGTTCCTCCCTTTTCCTCGCCTTTAAGGCTATACGGGGTTCTCCCGGGCCAGGGAGTGTGGGCGGGGATTTAGAAGACTCCCTCGGCACAGGGATGCGAACTCGGAACTATTTTTTATCGTTGTCTCATATGTCAGGTTGCCGGGCAACAGCGGTGCTGTGCACACTCCTTAGCCCATTCGGCCACCCCGCCCCCTCCTAAACACTTAAATAAGGGCTACCCATCTCTCCCCTCCCTCTCCCCCAAGGTTGAAAGTCCTTAAAATTGAAACCTTGTAAAATTCCTGGTCCCTCAAGATTTCAAAACTCATAAAAATGTGCCTTACTCAAACATTTTGAAGACAACTTGCGCCATACAAGCCCCTTCTCGGCACATCTGCCTTTAATGAAAGCTCCAGCATTTTTAATAAAGTGAATTAGTGCATCCCGAGTGTATATTGTATACTTTGAACCATAAATAATAATCTAGCACTGTAAGGTCTTGGAGGCAAACTAATTGGACCAATCCAACTATTTAAAAACCTTTTATCCAAATGTTGTCTCACCTGACAAGCGAAATGAACAGGAGATCTGTCATGCTGAAAGAGCATTTGCTTTCTGATGTTTAAAGGACCATCCTCTAATAGTTCTTGTAATTTATGTCGTAAAAAATTTAAGTAGTAGTCGTGTGAGGCGATTCTCTGAAATGAAAGGGACCATTAAATAACTGTCGATAATATAACATCACACGTTTACTGAAAACTTATATTGAAATTGACTTTCGAATTTTTTGTGTGGATATTCATCAGCCTACACATAGGATTTGTGAATGTTCCTTCATCTGTGAAAAACAATTTAGAATTTTCTGTATTATAATTTACGTATACGGATTGATTTTTATTTTATTTTAAAGAAAAGTCAATAATCAAGTGAATAAATAAAATCTATTAAGCGATAAGGTAAGAATGGACATAAATGTACACATTTTACAAAAATGTGTTAAAAAAATAAATAAAACTGTGAAATATTTAAAAAATGTGAATAGAAAATGTTTTTAAAATATTTCGAAACATACCGAGGAAGCATAGACATGTATATAGATATCGAAATGAACATTTGAAGATATAAAAATCGTATCCCTATCAATAAAATTCAATCTCATAGGATATCAGAGATCATCACATAATCTAGTGATGATCTATTGTAATAATATTGATGTAATATATCTTTCGATAGATGAGATCCAGTCGAGGAATTCTTGCGGTGAAGATTTCGAGAGATCCAGCGACGGCTTGGGTACCCACCCTGCGAGGTCCTGATCCGATGTGTCTGGGAGGGGGCATTCCTCGCCAGTCAGTCTTGTCGAGGTCTCCGTCCTGAAAGCTGTTCAACATCCAGCCACTCCTATTGTAATGCTCAAAACGGATACAGATATCCCACTAAACATTTTACGTAAGTATTATTTTGTCTTATTTATTACCAGCAGCTTTATATTATATAATAACCAAAGTTATTATGCTATTCATAGCTACTATTAAGTCTTACTTTCGCACTAGCGGATCCAGGATTTATTTTTTTTTAGAGGGGCTTCAGCCCGAAAGCTTTTTTCTTCATAAAAATAACGATAATTACTTTGGGGAAAAGAAAGACACTAACTACCTATATGAAATGGTGTTTAAGTGATTCCTATAATACTTTAAGAAATAATTTTTTTAAGTTTTTTTCGGTAAAACATGGTTATATTTTCCCATTTTGGGAGGGCTTCAGCCCGAAAGCCCTCCGTAAATCCGCCCGTGTACTTTCGTAATGTCGGGGAAATGTATTCTTGAGTTGAACTTGAACGAAGCGAACAATTGTACTGCTATTTTTTATTCATGAATGCTGTCAATTTATTGAATTCTATAACCAAAAAAATAAATTAAGACTTGGTAAAGATATTGAGGAATCGTTTCCAACATTCCCAAGACTTTTTTCATATTTATAGAATATAAATTTGTCTTTGGGGTAGTTCCCCATACAAATAGAGCTTGGCTACAAACAGTTAATATCAACGCTTTTAACAATGTATGTATACAAAGATATATAAATGTAGGATTATAACAAATTTGGAATATTTTAAATTGAAAGGAAGGCCCAGGTTCTTGCAGAGCCGTAGCGCCAAGAATAAATAAATAATTTTTAAATTGAACACATATTTTAGAGTTTAGCAAGAGAGTTAAAAACTCAAACATATTTAAAAAATAATTATTAACTGTATACCTGAACATGTTTCTTAATTATATTCGCGCATCTGTAATAATTTCTGCCTCAATTTACAAGCCAAGGTCTCATTAAACATGAGGAAAATTACTATAACTATTTTATGTTATTTATTTATTTTTTTAATGTTTATTAAGTTAAAAAAAAATGTAATCCTTGAGTTAAAAATTTTTATATATAATTTACCTTGTAATGAAATTATTAAATATTTATAATTTAAGTAAGAAGGATTTTTATGTTTTAATTTATACTAACTGCATAATTTGTCTAGAATTTCAAGCATTAATTAGCTTTGGAATAAATAAATATAAAAATGAATTCTTGGTAACGTTAATCCGGAGTTTATGAATTTTAAATTACTTGGCATGAATCATTTTATTTCGGTACTCACTGTATGGTTACACAACTATATCAGATAGACCTGAGGTTTATAATTTTTTTTGTCTTGTTTTTCAAAACCACCGGATTCCGTCTCTAATAAATATAATCCGACACCAATACAAATATTTAACCGAAATAGACCGGTCTGGAATCTTCGAGACGGAAGCGACCACGTGAACCGCCATGAAACTCGCATGTTCATCCGAATCTCTTCTCTTTCATCTTTGATGTGAGATGAAAGATTAAACGGGAAACCAGCGTTAGATTATTTAGTATTTAGTACTACGATCCGAGATAAAAATAGCATTTGCTTCAATTCATATGCAGAGCAAACATTTGATAATGTATTTGACGTCATTGTCCCAACCGTGAACCTGTAAGAATTTCATTGCCGGTTCATGCTTCTCATTCCATGTCATAACTGTTTTTAAAAAAATATATAGAATTTCTATCCGACGAAAAATAGGTCGATCGCATGGCGAGATCTATTTTAACATTAGAAAGTGTTCTCTCACTCGTCAACACCTGCCTTGACAGTTTTTTTATTACACAAAATTCTTTCGATATTTGACTATTTTTTTTTATTATATCGCGATTATTTCTGTTCATTGTTATTTATTTTTAATGAAGGGTGGTGGCGAACGATACTTCCATTATTTTATAATATGAAATTAAAATATTATTAATATTAAAAAAAAAATATCAACTGTTCATAATGTCTACGTTTCAAAGACTTCTTAACCATTTTCAGTTTATGACGATGGGGAAGATTGTCCCCACTAAAAATATTGAGGAATATTGTTTCGTCTCTCCCCCAATAATTTGAAACGAAAACAAAATCAAAATTAATAAATAAAAGCTACGTAAATGAATAAAATTTATAAACTAAGATCTATTAAGAAATAACAAAAGTTGACTAGCTGGCAAGGTAAAGACTAGAAATAGGTATGTAACAATTTTACCACGATCTAAATTTTACTATTATTTAAATTTTCATTGATATTCAAAGTAAATAATAGCAACATGTCGTAGGATTTTATTATTCATTTATACCTCATGTGCACACCTCCATTTCATTCTTATCACATTTTTTGTACTAAAATCGAAAAAAAAAATTAATAAGAATAAGTATGTCAGTATAAATATATTTTATGAAGAATGTTTTTCTGGTTAATTTTACATAGCTAGTCAGACTATGAAAGCGTTGTGTTGTTATATTGAGTTTGTACGAACTATGAAATAAAAAAAAAAATTCTGTTTTTAACATTATTCATTTTTAGCTCAAGTACCATAATGTAAAAGTACCAATATTATGGAGACTATCTCCAAATCACCATGTTTAGTGAATAATATTAAATTGATTTGTTCAGATATTTAAGTTATATCCATGCTTAAAACAAGATAAATAAATACATTTAAAAAAAAAAGTACAACTATATAAATATATAATACAATTTTATTCATATATGAGCCTTTCGGTTGACATAATGACTAACTGCAATTTCAACATTTTTGAGTATAGTCATTTTAGTAATATTTCTAATTGGAAAATTTATAATATCTGTTCGGACAGTGAGTAAGTTTAATCCAAAGTAGATGATTGCAGTGTTGAAGCATAGAACTGTTAATAAAGGTATAAATTTGCCAGTAGAAACATCACTAAAATTAATAATAAAGAATCATAATTGTGGATTGATGGTTGACTGTAGTGAATAATGAAGAGAAAGAATCAGTCACAATAAAAATGGCAAAAATAAATATTATTATTTATTTTCGCCATTTTTATTGTGACTGATCACTCCAACCATCATTCTCTTCATTAATAATAAATAATGTTGAAATTGGATTTAGTCATTCTGTCATCAGAAAGGCTAATATATGCCTAGAGAGATTTGAAAATACATCTGAATATTTAAACTATAAATGATTATGGATCGTAGGACTATTATTTATTAAACCGTTATATTCCAGTGTAAAGTTGCCTCGAATTTTATTGTCGAATGTTGTCACACCAATTATAATTGGATAATGTTGGGATTTCACAAAGGGAAAGTTCATCAAATCATTCACTAATTTATTTGTCTAAAAAGTTAATTGATGATTTTTTGGAATAAACGGCCAATAAACCAAGTGATTGCAGTGTTTAAAAATAGAAGTGTGAATAAAGGTATAAACTTCCCACAAGAAATATCACTAAAATGAATAATCCGTCACTAATGTTCTATTTTCCACCTATTTTTTATTAAAACAAAAATAGAAACGGATTAAATTGTTTCATTGGCGTTAAATAGAGAAATAAAAGCTTTGTAAATTATTACTCAAAGGTTTATTATATTCAAATAGTTTAACTTCCACATTGAAAAATATTGATGCACAAAGATTAGGACGATTACAAATATTTTTTTAGTAGTATATATTTTTAATAAGCTACTTATATAATAATGAAAACGTTCATGCCAGAATTAGAACGGGTAGGTTTGAGATAAAAATTAAAAAAAAAAAACGATGCAGCGCGTAAGCCGATGAACCGATTTTAATGAAATATGGCCTAAGTCCTCTCCTCGAAGAACTTCAAATTTATGACTGTAATAAACTTCACCCAAAAAATAATTACAATGTTAACATTGGATATCAGAAAAACATACAACGTATTATATTTTTGTTGATATTGTGTATGGTCATTTGAATGTATACTAAATTACCTTAAAAATTATTAAAATCGGATGATTTGATAAAAAGATACGTGGTCCCAAATAATTACCAAATGTTCCAAAGCTGCGCATTGTTTTGTCTTAAAGAAAGTGTCTGACGGATCTTTGTAATTACTGAGTGGATTTTGATGACAATTTTTTTTCTCGTTTTGGAAATTTTACTGTAATCAAAATATTTTCTGAACCAAAAAGGGTTAAAAGTGCATCCTTCCTGAGTTATTCGCAAATATAATTTAGAATTCATCAAAACTCCTTTTCAGGTCCTCAGGAGGAAGTATGTTATATACATAAATTTATAATGCTTCATAGAGAATACTTTAGGAAAGTTTTTATTAATACCGTTACAGGCGTTTTAGTGCTTTAGTCTATAGAGAAACGGATTTTTCCATCTCCGTCTTGAAACAAAATGGAGGCTGGTGATGAGACCTCTTAAAGGTAGCTCTCCAACACCAACTCAATATAGATACAAAATTTCAACCTTCCAGCTTTGTTAGGAGGAAACTGACGAAAAACAACTGATTGCATGCGGAAATTTTGACGAAATTTTACCAAATTTCAATAGTATTGTTCCTAGTCTATTATTTCCTGCGAAAAATAGACAAAAATCTATTTTTGGGGCGGAGTATCAGCGGAAATAAATTCTCGTTAGATAAACTAATTTACCTAAAAATATAAAAGAAAATACATGTTATTACATTGCTGTACATTATTAAAAAGTTAAAACATTAATTTAATCTTTAATTTATTTTTTTTGTGGCTTTATGCATGGGCATATTAGCCAATATAACAATTAAAATTTAATCTTAAATTTTCTAAAAAATAGAGCTTATTTCTTCTTCTGGATTTTATGGAATGCGGAGAAGCGTGATTTTTTACTGTACCTCGTTCTCAGACTAGGTTGGGTTTTGAATTCTTACCTGTTCGAACCGAACTAACAACCATCCACAAATATATTTCCTGATGTAGAAAAGCTAAACTTTAAAATTTTATATTGAAATCAATAAGTACTTATTTTATAATTATTTATAATCTAATAATAATTGATATATATTAATAACTAGCTGTATTCAGCCACGCATTGCTGTGGCTCAGTCTAGTTGA